AGAATGCCTAAGCTCTAGGCCACGCTGATGATTAGGATGCTTTGGACGGGATCTCAAGAAAGGGACCCATGACATATGAGCTACAGTCAAAACTCCTTAAAGGGGGTTATATAGGGGATGATATGGGGGGGTACCATGGGGGCTATTAAGGGGGATACTAGGAGTTTACACATGAAAAGTTGGCTGCAAGTCTGAGTCCCTAACAGCCCTAAACCCTGTATTCAACCTTGTGGGTGTGCGTCGTGAAGATTTTGGGGGGGATCCGAGAAATCGATATGCCCTCAGGATATAGAGAACCCTTCAAGGGAGTATAGAAGGATGATTTTGGAAACTCCCACATGAGCCATTGTCTAAACACCTTCTATCACTCTTAAAAACTCCTATAATACTCCCTATATAATCCCCCATATAAACCCTCTTAAACCCTCTTAAAGGAGTTTAGAGTATAGTACATATATGGCCTTCCCAGGCAAGGTCTTGTCCTCCGCTTCAGCCTGCCAGAATGGGTATAGGGAAATCTAGGAATCTGGGGAGCATAAAGGCACTACAGGGATCCTTCCTAAGACCTATGTTCAGGGGGCTCAAAATGGGATGAAAGTAGGTGGGTTGAGGCTCCTCAGTATATACTCTACTATATTGGGGCATATGTCCTAAACCCCACGTTCCTTCATCCCACTTTTTGAGCCCTTTAATATGTGGGAGTCTCCAAGCGGGATAGCCGTCTGCATCAGACTCCTCCTCTATGACATACAGCAGACATTCCTCAGCATTGGGGGTTCCGCTTCTACGCCCGAAGAGCAGAATCCCCATTCAAAAACAAATCATAATTTCAAAAACTGTAGGTTCCAACATGTGTCGAGCATGCTGGGCGTGGTCGCCGCCACCACCATCACCGCACTCCTCCTTTGACTTGTACTTGTTCTACTGTGCAATTTCTCTCGCAGCACTCCTGCTGATGTTTTCCGCTTCTATCTGTCTGCTGACTTGTTGATGCCTATGGTTCCGAAGCACATGTAAGTTTCCCTAAATTACTGTTCCCAAAATGGGGGAAATTAATATAGGGCCCCGTATTATAATGGGAACCCAAATACCCCATATTATAGGGAATTTAGACCAATCCCCATATATGCCTACACGTTCGCCTGACCATGACCCAGAATTTAGACCAATCCCTACATACAGCCAAACTTGCTGCGGCCTGGACTTGGTCCAGCGCCTCTGCAACGGCCGAAATTGTCGCAGCCTGTCGAGGAAGGATGGGTTCATGGTTTAGGGTTTAGGGTTCGGTTTAGGGTTTAGGGTTTAGGGGGTTCATGGTTTAGCTGGTTTAACCCTAGGGATCCAAATAGCCCAATGCAGGTAATATTTACAGACTTTGTGGCCCAATGTAGATATTATGTATATACTTGGATCCCTAGGGAAAGTAATCAAAGAGTAAGAGGTTTTTAAAACATCAGACTCTTAAAACCATCAGAAGCCGTGACCTAAGGGGGACAACACTAAAAAAAACATGGCTTTGAGCCAAATCTAGTCTGCCTCCATGAGCGGCATGATTATGTTGCAGCCTGTCTCGTTCTTGAAGAAGCGGTGAGAGCAGAACAACTCAATCAGCTTTGACTCTGGTATGAACATGGGTGCAGTAGCAGGCCCTTAGACAGAGCCAAGGACATTCAAGAGGCAGCCACAGCACGGTGATTTTGGGTTGCCTGAATGGGGGTGCTGTCGCCGTGTAAGCTTTGCCAGCTCCTACATGTACCTGCCTGAACACCAGAAGAAGGCACCCAAGTCTTGAGCAGGCTAAAACTTATTGAAGTCTGCAGGTACTGCGTGGTGATAGATACCGCGGTGCAAATGCCATGCCTGGCTAGGTCTTGCAGCGCGCCTGTCTTGTTGCCTTCCGCAATTTGCCCCAAAGCCCCTGCACAGCACATTTGCTTGTAATAGTGATAATGATAATTGTCGTAAGGATACATGATAGCTTCCAAGAGGGCAGGGTTTGCTCTCTTGAAGCTTCAGGCTTGCGAACGTTTAGGGTGTGCCTGCCAGATTTAGCAGGTGCGTTTCTATTGAAACTTTGTATATACCTAGACTTGCCGGTTTCTTTAGCAAGGAATAAGGGAATGTAATCCCTGTATAATCCCTATATATGATGTATTCCCATATTCGCTACTAAGCAGTACTTAGAGGATCCATTTTAAAGCCAACCTTCTCGCTGGTGAACCTTCTATTTGCGGAGTCACGTGCAGCTTGGCAGTTCCAAGCCTTGCCAGCATTCGCGGTGGCAGACGTCCTAGGCCAAGATCTGTAGGATCTATTAGGAGGACCCTCCACCCTGTAGTAGTGGTATAATAGTTTAGGGTTTCGGGTTTACTCTACCCATTGCTGCTGCACACTTTCGCTGGACTAATTCCAGGAGTGTGGCTCTACCACCTCCCCAACGCACTGCATCCCAAGCCCCAAACCCTAGAGCCTAAGCCCTGAACCGCCCAAAAAAAAACCTTACACCCCTAAAACCTGAACCCTAAATAGTAGTTTCCATTTTAGTTTCCATTATCCCAATATAACCGCAGTATAACCTTCTTATTACTCCAATATAACCCCCAGGCTGAAGGCCGGACACCAGGCTGGCCGTGGCAGTCATCGCATCTTCAGCTTCTGCGCGGGCGAGCTCCTCCTCTGACCTCGGGACTGTAGGGTTTAGAGGCTGGTGGGTTAGATAGTCTTTCAGGTTCTAGGCTACCTTATAGGGTTTAGGGTTTAGGAAGGAACCAGCCTTTCAGATCAGGATAAGTGCGCAAATGACTGGCTGTATAATCATCACAGCAGTGTTTACGCAAGTGCGGTGGAGAGCGGGCGCTGTGCAAGGTGTGCAAACCTTCATCAAATGTCACATGCACAGAACCTGAGATCCCAAAAGCCTGCTGTAAAACTTGCCCACAAGGTGCAAGTACCCAATAGTCAATAGTTATACACGTTGCTACCATCTCTTACTACCGAGAAAACATTGGCTTGGTGGGATCCCCCAAAAATCCATTACAGGAAAGGCCTGAAGCATTATCAAGATTATGGTCCCAGATTCCTAAGTATATGGTATAGGATACCTCAAAAAGACCTCATAATAATAGTGGTAGTTATTTAGGCACCTCCATTGGCTGGCTGGGTCCCGGTCACAGGAAGCTTCGCCCCTTCGAAGGAGGCTCTCCTCCAACAACAGGGGCATGCAGAAGTGTTCATGACCCCAAAATGAAACTTGCCAGGTGCTCTACAGCTTCTAACCCCAAACCCGAGACCCTAAAACTCCAGTTTCCTGAACAGTCCCGTAAACAAGACAGTTAGTTACCCAGCTGCTACACTGAGAAGATGGTCTCAAGTTCGGGCTCTAAGCCATTCTAGGCTGTTGAGTAGTGTCTTTTCCATCAGAGTAATGTCTAAACTCCAAACCCTGAACCCTAAACATACCCCTCGCGTAAGGGGGCATTGCGGGTACCAAGCCCCATGGTGAAATGGTAGGCACTATAAAGCTCTGTCTACAACATGTTTGCCGAGTCAATCCATACTTAGTGCTACACTGACACTAGGAATGGGCACTATAGGGTTGGGATGCATGTTTTAAGTTGGAGGGATTGTGAGCCTTAAGCCTAAAAGCCCTCCACCCAAAGAACCCTTAAACCCTTAACCTTCTAACCCTAAGTCGTCCTCCCAAAGAAACGTTCGGTATAGGCCGTGGCTTCAGCCAAGCTCTCTCTCCGAGTGCCCGACCTGCGTGGTTTTCAAGGGTAAAGCAGAGGCTTTAAGGTTCAAGGGGGCTAAACCCTAAACCCGTATCTGCGGGAGAATGCTGGAAGCTTGCTCCAATGCGTATTGAATACGATATCATAGGCATATACCTACGCGGGTCCTTGTACATCCTAATACCTAGAACCTTCAAACCAGGAAATCGCAAGCCCTGCGACTGCCACTGCTGCAGTGCAGGTTGTTCTTCGTGATATCTCAAAACCGATTGCTACTGCTCTACTTACTATGGTCGATACAAAAAGCCCTGCAAGACCCTAAGTACCTATATACCTTGGAAATATACGCTAGCATAGTAACGTCATGCAAAGTTGTTAGTACGAGTATCAACGACATCGTTGCTTCTGTCATCCCGCGGGCAGCGCCTTGGGTTCTTCATGTAGACAGCTGCGAGCTGCAGGTCCCTCTCTTTTCGCTTCATCTCTATCATGGCCTCAAAGGACGTGTGACTCAGCCTACGGGTTCTTAGGAGGGGCGAACGGAATGTCTTTGTACAAGGGGTTATAGAGGGGCTATATTCCCTTATTATTCCCTACTAAGAACTAGTAAGCCGGGGTGAGCTGCAGAACTGGGAAATCCGAGTGGTAGCTGGAGCTTAGTGCAATGACGAGTCTCCTGCCGTGTCGTGTTCTGTTTTGCTCTGGGTCTCTGCAGCGTAGCCACTTGGCTGCTCAAGAGCCAGGCCCACGAGGAGAGAGTACTTGGAGGGCTAAGAATGGGCATAATTAGGGCTACTGTTTGGGTTACACGGCTTATTAACATACTTACTAAGTCCCCCCGACCTTCCAAGTATTGCTCCAAGTATTGCTAGGTCAGCAAGAGTTCTGTGCTGGCAGTGCTTTAGCGTCTGTCAAAGCCGTGAGGAATCCTGCATGAAGCAACCTTGCCAAGAGATATGGATACAGTCTGCAAGGATTTAGTAGGGTGCCGCCCTCTAAATGGCAGTTTTGATGGAACAATGTTAGTCTTATGTTTTCCTCTGGGTCTAGGAAACACAAGCTCCGGCGCTTGCCTTGGCCAAGTTGATGGGATTCCCAGAAGCCGTCTTCCCAACAGCCTCGCAATCTCTAAGCGAGGTAACGGCCTTAATTAGGAATTACACCTACTGTCTTGGGTTGGCCCCTCAAACCCTTGGAAACATATTAGTATATAGGGTCCCTTATTAAAGCCATCAGGGAAAATATTAAACATCCCAAGGGCCTACCCAGCGTCAGGCTGTAAAGGAACATGGTGAGGTTTCTCATTTGCCAGGAGAAGCCGGGCTGTAATGTGTCAGAGCCACTGTGATGCGTAGTCATGGCAGAGGCTAGTCCAATGCGTCTAGCCGATAAGAATGACCCTGTGACTTGGTGAGAACCACACCCTAAGCCCTAATCCCTACACTAGAAAGACCATAGATTTTGGCATAACCTTGAAGAGGCTTGCTTAAAACTTCTTCCTTGGAGTTGGAAAAAGCGCAAGCCACTTGGACCTGGCTGCCCATAGCTGAAGTTGAAGCAACGAGGCCGTACAATATCAAAAATCCACTGAATTGCTTAAGCGATACATGTCTCTTCTTTACCCACCAAGCATGAAGATCGGAGACACAAAAAAGAGAAAAGCATCAGACAACAACAACCCTCAAGCCTAAGACAAAACAACGGCCCATGCAACCGCACACTGCATCCGAACAAAGTCCAGCACTCCATAGGAGAATCACTGGTATAATGCAGCAGGAGAACGCTCCAAAATCCTTTCATGAACCTCTGACGCCCTTGCCTCCTGGACTTATTGATGTATACCAGTCTGCATCGAAGTGGAGACAGTCAGCCAGACAAAAGCTCAAATGAAGGCGTAGGAAACAGGAGCAACATCCACGACGCCAGCACTAGACTGAAATCCATCGCGCGACTCCTAGAAAATTTTCGTATAGCTGTGAAGACCATCAACCTCTGCTTAACAACTCCCTGGTGCTTAGGAGGGAAGGGGGGAATTGATGCCTACAGTGGTCCCTATATACCCCCATTATTATCCTTAAAATCCATTCCCCCCTTCCCTCCTAAGCACCAGGGAGGACAAATAGAACCCTAAACCCTAAACCTTAAACCCTAACCTCTAAACCCTAAACCCTAACCGCATGGCAGCGTTCCTTTTGTCCAGCAGCGCCGCTGCCTTCCTTCACCGGCTGCCTAGCAAGGTAAGCAACGGCGAGCTTGATGGGAACTTGCTTTATTAGGACAGGACTTGGGGGTTCAGGGTTTAGGGCTTAGGGCAGAAAATTCTATGAGTATTGGAAAGGAGGAAAATGGAAATTGTTCAGGCTTAGGCTTCTGCTTTAAGTATTGCGGTGTTGTGTTGTAGGGTTCAACGCGTTGAGGGCTTGGAGGGTTAAGGGTGATAGGGTGTTTGTGGTTATAGTCCTCCTGAAGTAGATAGAATATGGGGGATCTGGGGATATACCCAAAGCCATATTATATCTACTTAAAGGGACTACAATCTGGAGTGCAAAGCTTGTTGGGTGATTCATGTTGGCTTGGGGCAAGGCACTGCTGATATTGCTCTGAGGGTCTTTCACGGCAGGGTTCTTGAACACACTCTGACAATGGCTCGGTATAGTAGTAGAAGTCAGGGTGGTAGTATGTAGATGATGATGAAGAAGTAGTAGTCGTCCTACTAGTAGTAGTAGTAGTAGTAGCAGCAGCAGCAGCAGTAGTAACAATAAACAATTAATAGTAGTAGTAAATCAATAAAAAAAACAGCAGCCGCCAGTGACAATAAACCGGATGAATTTGTGGATTTTCTCGCACCGGATCCTGGGCCGTAGCCCTCTAGTCCCCCTTAAGTCGATAGAATATGGCTTTGGGTATACAATAAGACCCCCATATACCCCATCTTCTATCTACTTAAGGGGACTATACCCTAAACCCTAAATCCTAAACAGTAGTTTCCATTTTCTTTTCCATTATCCCTATATAACCCCAATAATAGTACCCC